ACGCTTGAGCCTCTAGATCTGCCTCGATTTGCTCTGTGGTGATGCCCGCCGCCCGCTTCTCCTCCCGAGCTCGAGCCCAGCAAAGGTCCAGCTGTAACTCTGCCTCAACCTGAGCTTGAACAGCTGCATGCATATGACTGCGGTGGCTGATTTGGTTACGAAGCAGTCTCTGTTCTGCCTTTGGATCGAGTACCGCATTGATGTCGATATCGATGGTATACGAAAGTCGCATGATCAGACTCTTGGTCGCTGCATATTTCTCATCTGCAAATATGCGAGCCTTCACAATGTCTGCTTGAGTCTTCGGCAAAACTCCAAGCAAGGATGGTCCAAAAACCTTGCCTGTGATCTCATCGTACTCCAAGCCCTTATCATACAATGCCTTTGAGAGTGATCTTTGTGCAGGACTCTTCGGGAGAAAATTGTTGCCCACAAGCTTCAAAGATCGGACTACACGAGAATCAGAGATCTCGAGAGAGCCGTCGAAGCGGCTGTTGTCTGAGTATAATCGGTCACTTGTTGATTGCTCCGGAGGATTGTCATCTTCGCTGGTCTTAGCATACTTTTCGCGCCTGTCTGTTGGTGGTGGCGTAGTCGATCGCTTCTTGCCTAGACAACTGTTCAGCGGGGAAGAGACATGGAGGGCAGTGGAAGGAATACTTGAGTCCATTTTAGCTGAAGCTTTGAAGGTTTCGGTCTCCAACGAGTGGTCCAGCTCTCGCTCGTGAAGATTCAGGACAATGCCTACGATGACGAGCGGATGCTTTTGATCAAGGCCCTTCTTGGACGAGTAACCCCATTTGCTTGCATTCGCTTTCGTTCGCTCCTACATCGGTGATGTTACCGTTTGGTGTCGAGGCGCCCCGGACAGCACCAAGGATTGCTACAGCGAGAAACGGCCGTTGCGTAGCTTCACACTTCTGAGTCCTGGATTTCTGCATATCGACAGGCAGCGCGTTACCATGACTGCACACTGCATGTTTTGAGCTGGGATGACCCGGCCCACAGTGGATAGATATCAGTTGCTACCAAACATATGGCAATGCGCATGTCAGGCCAGGTTGGCCCCGAAAACTCGCAGACCCCTAGGGCTTTGCACCCAAGGAACAGCTTCCTCCTCTTGATGACCACAATACAGATAAATTCTGTTGGATAACCAAGTTTGCACTCAAATTTGATGAGTTACACACCCATTGCATTTGGAAATACCCACATACCCTACGATAGATATAAATAGGAAGGATCATCTTATTGACGGTCACGAAAGCCATCTACTAACCAAGCTACTCATAGACTCATATTTCTGGCTCTCGTCAAACTTGCACAGACTGCAGCACCAGTCAAGGAACGTCAACCACCCCTCAAACATGAAGTGTTTAGTGCGGCTAGGTGCCTATGATCAGCAGCGTAGCCAGGTATGGAAGATCGAGACTGTGGGTGCACCAATGATTCGACATGGTGCTTTTGACTCTCGCCAATATCCATGCCCGACTCAAGCTTTACTACAGCTAGCTTGCCTAATGAGTGTCTCACCGCGCTGAACTCTTGAAAACTACCCTCTGGCCTTGCGCTAAGGTAGTTGTGGAGGCTTCTGTTTGCGTCAAGGCCAACCGCAGGGACCTGCTAAGCGACGGGAGTGGCTCAAACCACGTCAACACGCGTCGACCACCAGATTAGATGGACGAATTTGGGCCACAACTTCCGAGCACAGACGCTGCTTTCTAGTCAGCTGTATTATTAGCTCATTTAGATGATATAAACAGTAGGAAAGGTTTTCTTTCTTGACTTCCAACGACTCGGTCTTCACCCCAAGGTATAGCGATAGCACGAAAGTGAGAGATTTGATGGCTCATCTTTCAGACTTGCTCAGGCGCGTTTCGCGATTTGGATCTTGCGTTTGTATTCAGTTCAGACCGCTGCTCGGTGAAAGCCGACCGCGTTGCGGAAATGTGCATCTGACTGTACCCAACAACTTCACAATCCCCTCTGATTGCAATTGTGAGGTCAATTTTGTTGCGGTGTGATGCGCAAGTACCCTTATTTGGATGTGCTTAGTACAGAAGCCGCCAAGTCACATTCGAGCCATCTCACTTTTGTATTTTGCGCTCAGCGACGGCACTTGGACAGTGACTTGATAATCAGCTTCCAGCCTGTAGTAAGAATTTCTTGCTAGATTCGATTTGCCAAACGGGTTCCTTTGGCTTCCAAACTTTACCAGCATTACAGCTACAACGTCCGATAAATCATCGACATATTTTCCCATCGCGGATGGCGTAACTGAGGTTCCTACAGCACAACACAACCTATTGTCGTACCAAAGCCACTCAGCATGGATGCACCAATAACTGGGGACGGTGATAATCTGGTACGTTGCCGAGACTGCTCCCTACCTCTGGAGCTATCTATGACTGTAGCTCCCAAGTACTAAGAGCTCTTAGATCATCATGAAGTGGCCGTTGAAAGACCTGATCAGCGGCCAGCCATTCAACTGGTACGCAGATCAGTATCAGGCTGCTAGCGATTTTGTCAATTTCGAGAAGAATCCGAGATTCAAGGATCATATTGAGACGATACTCTCCAACAAGGGCAATGTCACTGAACGAGCTTGTGACCAATTCTTCATAGATGAATACCTCATGACAAATGTATGGGACGCCCTTGGCTTCCAAGATCTTCGAAGATCCCGATATTTGAACAAGTTCCCAATCATCAACAAAAAGATCCGAGCTCTACTTTGGAAACAACATCGCACTCTCCGAGATCAGTCAGATGTTGTTCACACCTCGTCAGTCTCAGGGTCGCCCGTGGGGTCTCCAGGTTCGACTTCTCAGTCAGCAGTCGGCCCTAGCTCCAGTACTCAACAAGTAATGCCTGGATCATTCGCTTCACCGGAGACTGTTCTATCAGCACCGCCACTGCTACCGACGCTGGCGCAGCAGAGACGCGGCAATACTATAGTGGAAGCGACTACGGATGGGCACGAGAGTCAGATTGACTCTCAGAATCTCGGAACTATGTATATCACCCTTTGTCACTCAACATCGCGGATTGCTAATCAGATGACTAGGAATCACAGCGTGGTCCCTTCCACCATTCCATCCGACGTTGATAAGTCGCTGGATACCGACTACGAAAGCGAGGAAGACACCCCGGCGGTGAAGGAGACCAAGCGGAAAATCCAAGAAGCTCAAATGCAGCTTGAAAGGGCCAGACAACGACAGCGCATTGAAAATGCACGAAAGGAAGAGCTCGCCCAGAGTAAGGCGCGTAGACAGCAAGAAAAGCAGAGAAAGTTGGACGAAGAATTGGCCGAGCTCACTGCGCAACAGTTCTACATTGAAGCCCCCAACAAGGACGGCTTGGGCCAGGCTCAAACACTTCCCCGCCGTCGAAGAGAAAGAGACCTCTCGGCAAATCCCCAGGCCAACAATGCCCTTCCACCTCGAAGTATGTATTATCAACAACTTGATGCTGCTAACCCCTACCCCCAACGTACCGGACAGGACAATCTGGTGTCAGAGCCTGCTGCCGCGATCGCTTCCCTTCAGACCGGCCACCACATGCACCCTGCGCAGTTCTCGCCCTCCCAATCGTATGGAGAGAATACCATGCTTCGTCGTGATCATATGCAGTCTAGAGCTCATCAATACGCTCAGGGCTATGGTCAATTTAATGCTTCCTACGTGAACCCTTCGCAGAACGCCAGAGTTCAATCACCACCAACGCAAGGAGCCTATGACATCGGAGATCGAATCCTTCACCCCCAGCAAGGACAGCCCTCTACTCCAGCCACATATGCCACATCGGTGTCACCGGCTCCGCAGGGTAATCAAGCTACGATGGGCCAACCGTACGACAACATGGATCTTGGTATGGTATCCTTGCTTCTTTGACCCAGAACTAACTCTAGCGTACAGATACACTGCAAATGCTTGAGCGTCGCGAGAAAGCCAAGCATTCCAAATTGGCAAAGGAGAGAAAGAAACTTGAAAAGATACTCAGCAAGAAGTAAAGATCTAACGAGAAAATCTGTGAAGGTAAGTTTTTGCGTCTCAGGCAATTGTTTTGTGCGGACTGACAAAATGTGCAACAGAGCTATCTCTAGATGCTGTTCCCCATCTCGTGTTTGATGTCTCACCTTTCGTTCATCAAGGATTCGGCTTTTGTGCTGTTTTCGACTCTCTGGATGTCGTGGTTTGGCTATGGTTTAGTCTTCGGGGCTAGAGTTTCGATCCCTCATCTGTCTGCGATTTGTGTTTTGTATTAATGAAGTTCGCTAGGTCACGAATGCTAGAACTTATGATCACAACTTCGATGGTTTCATCAAGATTTGTCTGAGACCTTGCATCAATACTTAGAGTCTTGAATCCGAGTCAAGTGAGAGTTCGGAGTCCATGAACCCAAATCCCGAATGTGACAAGGATAATTTGCTGAGAGGTCGTGTTCCGGTCTGTATGGATCTCATAGCAGCATGAGATGACACCTAGCAGAGGCAGGATTCTTCTTACGACAGTAAAGAGATATAGGGTTGGATATACGGAGTGGATCCAGAGAACCTTTCGGGCTACGTGGCGTGTGCAATGTGGTGGAACAATAGCCACCGCTGATTTGGACTAGGTAAACAAATACCAAGAACTTATTGTTGCCTGAATGATTTGATCAATCACCGAAGGGGCATAAATCTTGCAAGTGGAGTTCAGTGGATTTTAATAATGACAGATTCACAAGTCAGATCATGTTCGCGATATACCTATCAACAAGTAGCAATCTGTATATGGAGAAAGAAGAATGAGCTTTGGGAGGTTTATACGCTGATCTCTTCTCCGGACGGTTCTGAGTCGCTGAGCGGGCCGTGCCGTAGCCACTAGCTGCATCGGGCCTAATCACCCAGCTGTTCCCACCCAGGGCAGCATTGCATTTACATGCACTCTGAAAGCACTCCTTAAACACCGTTTCAACTCCAATTACATACTCACTTAGGAAAACTTACTCCGAGAAGCTGTCCTCGCTATAGGAATCGAACCAATATCCCCAGAAGCTTCCAAGTTCATTGTCAGAATCTGATGTGCTAACCATTACACCAAGCAACCTGCAACCAATTGAAGAGGTGTTTGTGCCTTGTATACAAGGACAAGATGTTGAAAATTTTCTTATTTAGCTATATACGGCTATTAGAGCTTTGGGACATATTTTGCAAGGGCTAGAGGCTGATCTGCGGGTAGATAGTCAAAGGCATTTGGTAATCATTGTGATTGTATAACGGCGTTCCGTTTAGTGGATTCTGGGGTCTCCTTAGCAAAAGCTCATGGAGAGTGCAGAGATGGGAAAGAAGAGTAGTCTTTCCATTTTTGGTTTTGTCCTCGATTCCTCTGTTCGCGAGTGCTTTGTTCTGGACTCTTTTGTTCCACAGTTCTTTGAAGTTGACTACCAGATGGTTGCCCTTTTGGGGGACAATAGTGGTTAGGTTCCGGAGCACGAAGGAGACCAACGCTTCGGATTCGCTCTCGCCAAAATCCCCAGGCTCCGTTGTATGACGACTAGACCTTGGCCCTGCAGCTGGCTGACAGCCTTACATTACCAGCATCAAGCCTCCCACTTACACACCCAATAAGAGGTAAGACACCATCTAAAACCTTCATCTACACCCCAAAACCAAGTGGTACAAAGGGAGAGCGGTGCTTCATATTAGCCCGGATTCCGGTCCTCCGCCGCGATTGTCCGCTGGAAAAGCCAAATGCCTAACTCCGCTCTACGTACCAACGCGTAGGTTTGCATCAACCTACAACCTTGCAGCCAGCGGCGTGCAGCAACGCAAGCCTCATTCTGTACAGTATAAAGATTTTAGTTCGCCTCTCGTTTTCTCATCCGCTTCTCTTTTGCATACACCAATGCGCTCCTTCTTCCGATCTTTCCTCAGGCGTCGTCCACTGAAAACAGCGCCGGCTTCTACCCCTCCACCCCAGAACCAGATTGTGACGAGAGCTATGTCGGGAGGCATGACGGCTGCGGTGATCTATGCCGCCTCTGTGAGCAGTCCGAAAGCTTTGGGAGCTGTCCCTGAGGACTCTGCGACAAAGGCGCATCATGCGAAAGATGGAAAGGGTTTTGTGAATCCGTGGCCGAGTTGGGTGGATTTCAATCCTGTGACAATTGGCGGGACGCTGATATGGTTCGCACTCCTCCCTCCTGCTCTTATAAACCTTCTACGACGGGCGGAAAGCAAAATACATAAGGAAATAGAGCAGGATAGCTAATTTCAAACTCAGGCGCAGAATAACAGGCAAATGGAAATTCCCTGACACAACCCCTCCAACCGTCCCTGTAATCGAACCAAACTTCCTCCCCTCCCGCACAGCATCCTCCTCCCTGCGCGCAACATGGCTCGGCCACGCCTGCTACTACGTCGAATTTCCCAGCGGTCTCCGCGTCCTCTTCGACCCTGTCTTCGAAGACCGCTGCAGTCCCTTCTCCTTCATGGGCCCAAAACGCTACACCGAACCACCATGCCACATCAAAGACCTCCCCGCCGTAGACCTCGTCGTGATATCACACAGCCACTACGACCACCTGTCGCATCCGTCTGTCACGAAGATCCACGAGGCACATCCGAATGCGCATTTCCTCGTGGGTTTGGGTCTGAAGAAGTGGTTCCATGAGTGTGGTATTCAGAATGTCGAGGAGATGGATTGGTGGAATGATGTTGATATCACACTCTCTCCTAGTACAGGCGAGAAGCGCATATCCAGCGCCTCCGAAAATACAGTCCCGAAGTCAGGTGCGGAGGATATAAAGGCTAGGATATCATGTCTACCTTGCCAGCATACGTCTGCGAGAACAGCGTTCGATAAAGGTGCTACATTGTGGTGTTCGTGGGCTGTTGAGTCTGGTGGGAAGAGCGTTTGGTTTGGAGGAGACACTGGATATCGCCATGTCCCTGAACTGCCTAAGGGCGTCGATGACTATGGAGAGGAGTATAAGGACTTGCCGCACTGCCCAGCATTCAAGCAGATCGGTGATTTGAGAGGTCCGTTCGATTTGGGTCTGATTCCAATCGGTGCTTACGATCCACGATTCATAATGAGCAGCATGCATGCGAATCCATTCGACAGTGTGAACATCTTCATCGATACGAAGTGCAAGAAAGCTATGGGTATTCACTGGGGCACGTGGGTCTTGACCTCTGAGGACGTATTGGAGCCGCCTCAACTTTTGAAGCAGGCTATGAAGTGGAAGGGATTGCCGGAAACGGGAGTCTTTGATGTTTGTGACATTGGTGAGAGTCGGGACTTTTAAGATATTGACATCAGACGGGGAGTTGTACTAGCAATTAGAGCTTGATCACCAGGCATTGTATAACATTAATCACAAATCATGAATTTCATTTCGCAATGGCTATTGGCAATTTTCCCTATTCCTATGGAGTACATCCTGATGAATCGATCATAAAGCTGACCTCATCATCGTGTTGTACAATGTCCATCCCGCCTTAGAAGATCCACAAAAGAAATTTTACTTTTAGAGGGAAGGAAATAGACGTGACGTTAGTGTGAGAAGATTCGTTTGTCCACATCGCAGTCGTTCCTGGTACGATTTGAATGCTTAGAGTCAGGTTGAAGCTATCTCTGATCATTCAAAACGTATCGTCCGCTCCTGAAATAGGAATCTGTATCATGTTAGCAACGTGCAGAGTATAACAACTGAGTGATGCTTACCAGTAACGGCGGGGAGGTCGCTCATAATCGTACGGAGCATCTCTTGGGGGATAATCTCTTGGAGGAGGACGATCATAAGGAGCTCTACCATTGACGTATGGGTCAGGTGGGTAATCACGGCGGTAAGGATCCTCGAATCGACCACGTGGAGGTGGGTAGTCGTCAACTGGTCCACGGGCTCTGGGAGGAGAGCGGTATCCACGACGGTCATCATCATAGTAGCCACGGCGAGGAGGGCTTCTATCACGGTAACCGCCATCACGTCGAGGGCTGTATCCACGGGATGGACCACGGCGATCGTACTCATCACCGGGGTGGGCTCGGCGGGGGATCGGGGATCGTGATCGAGCACGGGAGTCGCGTGGAATATCCGGTTGAGTCTGTAAAATATTAGACATAATCATTGTAGGATTTCATGGAGGCATACATCAGCGATACAAGTGACACGGACTCCTTTGAACTCGCGGCCATCAAGCTTCTCTACAGCAGTCTTGAGGTCTGCAGCAGTCTCAAACTCGACAAAGCTTCTATCATAGTAATTAGCCAGAGCCCATTGCAGAAAGCCAGGACGTCTTACCCTTTGCCATCCCGGTCGCGACCAGTCTCGGAGTAAACAACATCGAGGCTGGATTGACGGGCGAAGTCTTTCAGGTCCTATATCCAGATCCATGTAAGTCGATATCCCGGCAGGTTGGTGTACAAACGCCAAGGTAGTAGTAGTTGTTGCCATCCAAACAGTTCCCGAGACAGGTACATGGTCCAACGGTTCTAGTTCCATCCTGCGCAAAGAGATCGCCATCCAGTTATGCAATGGGCAGCAAGTACAATAGCAGAAAGAAGTCGAAACAGGATATGAAAGGCCAGAAGACGGAGAGAGAAGTCCACCAAGTCCAAAGCTGCTCAGGCAAATGCACTAGCACGCTGCATGGTTCTTTACACCATCACAGGGCGTGATGCTGGCCAGGACTGACTGACTAGTAACTCTGCTGCCGAAGGTCTGTCTGTACATTGAAGGCGTCCAAATATCATGTTCAAGTTGCGCAGAGTCCAAATAGCATAATTCTTTGAGATCCAAGAGTCCGGATGAAGGAACGGGGGTAACAGACCTGCCAGCTGGTCTCACCTGGAAGTCCAGAGATTTGCATGCGATGAGGAGTACGTCTTGGACGTGGAGCAGTACGCTCGGTGTTCGCGAAAGTATCACGGTTGCGCGTGCCACGAGCAAACTGAACGGTCAAGCGCTCACCCATGAAGTCCGAGCCATGGAAGGCTACACGAGGAGTAAGTTATATGATCGCGCCTTGGAGTTGTTGATGCGGCCATACCGGGAACCACATCGCGGGCATCCATTGCATCCTTGTACTCGATGAATCCGAAGCCATTCATGAGCTTAATCTCGGTGATCTCTCCAGTGCCATGGGTATTGAAGTGCGCCTCGACGTCGGCCTTGGTAGCTATGATAGAGTTAGCAATTAGTCTATCAAGCGCATAGGCTGGGACCATTCAAGAAGGAGTCGCGTCGATAATACTGACCACTACGAGGAAGATTGCCCAGGTACAACCTGGTTGATGATACTTCAGTCATGGTGAGGCTGTTGACTTGTTGTGGGGTTCAGCGAAGGCTGGAGGTGGCGAGAAGGAGAGAGAGCGCGACGAGACAGCGAGATATCTATTGCTTCGCGGCGCTAGCAGATACGATCGATAAGGTCGCCGTTGCGGACAATGAGGGCGGCAAGTAAGTTTGCTGCGATTGCGATACGATACGTTGCGATGCGATGCGATGCAATGCGCAGACTGGAGCACAGGAGACGGGCGTGAGGAGAAGAGATCGCAACACAAGACAAGGCGGAGGGAGCGGAGCCCCATTGGACGAAGCAAGCCAGCTCAGACCATACAACACGTGACCTGACCGCTTTGTCTCTCCCCTCGTCTCATGTTTGGCTCTGGATGCTGGGCTGAAAGTTGATTAGAAATAAGTTAAAAACCTCTGGATTGTATACTTATTGAACCTTCATATCACGGCGACATTAATCAAAGAAGTCGTGAGGTTCTAAAATTATGGTGGCATTCAATTCATTCGTGTTCATTACCCAACTCCTGCCTACCAACAACCAAACTCCTCCATCCTCATTCATTTCTACGGTATATTGATCAAAAACGCCCTTCAACACGCACCCATATGTCCAACAGCCAGGACCTATGTGCACTGCCACGAAGCCTCCTCCAAAGCACAACAAATCAGAAATCAGACACAGACTCATCTCATCTCAACATCTTGGGTATCTTCTCGTCCCTCATCATCACCCCCTAGTTCATGCTCGACTTCATCAACTACAAAACCCTCGTAGTCTTCCAGGTTCTTTTGGATGTGAACCTT